CCGAGGGTGTGGAAGTGAAAACCCTATTCTCTCTTCAAGGTAACTAAATGTTGGAAAACCATCTCTTCTGTAATGAATATTAGCTAATACCAGTGCTGTGATTTTTGCCTGATGCATTGTGAGTATTTAGGTTCTGGAGGATGTGTTGATTAAATAAAGCAATAAAATGCATTCCTGAGACTACTTGGCATGTATCTTCCTTCTTTATTACAAAGTTTGCAGGAAATGTTTGGCATGACGTTTGGGACATGTTCAAAAATGCATGAAACATCTCTAACAAAACGTAAATTATTTCTGCCTTCCTTCCAGAAGGTGTCTATCCAATATTTGAATACTTTATACATAAAATTAATAGGAGTAGTGATTTTTTTTTTAAGGCTACCTCTTTCGGATAGCTAAGTTTTGCTGAGTAGGAGGAGGTGAGAGAGTGTCCTTGAGTGACATTGTTGATGTGATGCATGTCACAACCAAAAGATCTTTTCCTACCGCTTCCTTCACATTTTTTCTCTCCTTTTCTCAGTTTTACTATCTGTTCTGAGCAAGTAACTTCCTTAGACAGTAATCTCCCTCTTTTCTTCCTTTTCCTTGTCTTCCTATGAAGTATATTCTTTCTTACCTCACTTATTAGCTCCAGGATTTTCTCTCTCTCTCTCTCTTTTTTTTCCCCTGCAATAGAGTGAAACCCACATTCAAAAGCCATAAGTCAGACTCCAAAACATCATGAGACAGGTTTTTAAAAAATGAGATTTGGTAATGTAATAAATTGGAGGAATGTACCTGCCTTCTGCGTTTGACACTGGAGACAAGTAGCTTCCTTCCAAAGTGGGTGAGGACTTAAGGGTAAAGCATCATCTGCCTCAAATACCCCTGCCAGTGCATATGTAGTACCCACTGGCTGCTCAGAGGAGGGATGCCCTTTCCCACTTCATTCCCTCCAGAGATGGGGAACTGGCCATTCTATTCCTTCCTGAAACACCTCAGTTTCTCCTGCTCTTCACATGACCTTATTCCCTTTAGAGTGCTTACAGACATTTAGTGGAGGCACTCTAACTTATGGTGCTTTACACAAAACACCATGAATTAGGACCAACCCTCCCCCCCACACAACAGACAGCTGTTCACCTGTTGGGTCAGGGGAGCTCATGTCTGCCTGAACCAGCCCTGGCCAGCGGGTGGGGGCACTCCAGCAACCTGCCAGGAGGCTGCCGAACCACCTTCTCCCCAGTCCTGTCCCCACCCCTCCCCAGCTCTGGCCATAGCAAGCCAGCAGCTACATGCTGTCCCTGTCAAGAGGCTTGGACAAGGATGGGGGAGAGGAGCACCCCCTGCCTCACAGCGCCCCCCCGCCCAGGTACCCCAGCTGGGAAATTTGAGAGAGCCAGGCAGGGTCCATGAGGCCTTGAGCCTCTTGGCAGCAGCAGCACATAGCTGCCAGCTCGGCTTTACCGTGGTGGGAGCTGAGGGGGGCGGGGATAGTGGAAGGCAGCCCCCTTGCCTCACAGACCTGACCTGGCTGCCCCCAATACCCCAGCTGGAGTAGCTGTATGTGTCTTTGCCATTTTATTGAACACACTCCTTTATTTTCCTCCCTTTTTTTTCATTTTGATTTTCCATCATTTAATTACTTCCTGCTGCTACCTCCCTCTCTTCCTTTCTTCCCTCCCCCCCAACTTGGCATAAACAGTACAGACAGAAGTGCAGCTCCCGGCTGTAACTGGCAGCACTTTGCAAGTAGCATTCTGAGTTACAACCGGCCCCCAAACCAAACAGAAGTTCACTGTTGTTTCCAGGGGGGAGGGGAATCTAGCTGCTGGCTGGGAGTCTGCAGCTGGTTTCCCCTAACGATGGCCCCTTCTCTCTCCTAGCCTGTCCCTGTTTCAGAATGGGAGGGGGGGAAAGGAAAGGGAGCTCATTCTAGGGCTTCCCCAGCCAACACTAGAGGGTGTAGTGGATGAATCAGAAACCCCTCCCCACCTTGGGGAGGTACTCCAACACATGCCTCACCATCCAGCCGGGGCAGGAAAAAACCCAGACTAACCCCATCTGCTCTTTTCCTTGTCCCTCCCCTCACTCCATTCTGAAAACAGTGACAGTCTGAGAGGCAGCATGGACAGAAGTTACAGAAGATGGTCTGTTCTGAATTGTCTTCATCTGACCCCTCATGCAATGAAGATTCAGATTTTCACCCAATTGGCCAGTTTTGAAGCTGTCTGCAGCCATGCAGTTGAGGTTGGTCACATCTGTAGGCTGCTTTCTATGGCCAGATCAGGTGAAAATTGTCATTTCTGTCTGTGCCCAAGGGAAAACATGAGGAGCTCTGCCCAAACATGAAATGGAACATCCCTTCCTTTTGCCTCATATGATAAGGGCAAAGAAGTGCAACTACTCTCCACTCCCTGCTTGAAGTTATGAGCAACAAGAGGGAAAGTGGGTGTGTTTTTCCCCCACCTTACACTGGCAAGGAAAACAGAGGAACAAAGGAGGCAAGGCATTTCCTATCTAAGAATGAGTTTTTTACAACCATTGCTTGTACACCCATGATCATTTGTTATTTGGATTTATATGTTGTTTGTACTCAAAGGCTCAGAGCACCTTAAAATAAATGACAAAAAACCCATAGATAAGAAACACCAGTAGATTCCCCAAATTATATCCCAAAACTTGAAAACTCCACACTGCCCTACCTACTCACACTTCCCTGCCTATCACCCTGAAGAGCACACTCCCCAGCCATCCCAACCCCCACTCATATTTAAGGATAAGAAACCTGTCATTCCCCCCTCCCCTCCTCTCCCAACCCACCCACTCTCTGTCCCCTACATATACAAGAGAGCCAGATGGGTTACCAACAATTTTCACAGCTTTGGAGGTATCTTTTTTTCCCCCTCCGCAGCTGATTTTAAAAAATGTTGTATGTTTAAACTGTGTGCATCTGTCTGTTTGACCAATAAGCCTCATATTTATCTATCTCATGTATATCCTCCCCACCCCCAAGCAAATTAAAATTATTTGCAGCAGTGTCACAAGAGTACACTTCAAGCTTTAATCAAAGATTGCATGACATATACTAGAACAGTTCCCTGGGTGGTATGAAAGAGAGCAGTAAATCACACAATGCAAGCCAGTTTTGCAAGTTTTTAACCATCCTCTGAAGGGAAAGATTCTCTGAAGTGCAGTCAGTCCTCAGTTACAATTATGGGCTCAAAGCACTCTTTCTACATGCCTGGTTCCCACCCCCACAATAAGTATTGTTCCCTGTGGTGCAGAAAAAGTGCCTTCATCTAGGAAAGAAGAAGAAAAGTTTTTCTGATGGCCTATGTATAGCCTGTAAAAAGCACAAGGAATTCTGTTAGTCTCAGCCAAACTCATAGCAGGGTAATAGGAAAATAAATGATTTTGTTTTTTCCTCAGTTCCTATAACGAAGAGAGCACACAGCCAACAACAAATCTAACCAATTATTTTAAATTAAAGTTCAGATAGCAGACCTGCCCTTCAGGTGCTCTCACTCGCGCTCTCTCTCTCTATTTGGGGTTTTTGACTTCCCTGGGTTTTCTGTTTTTCTCTCCTGTGTAACTGTGTGAAAGATTATCATATAAAAAGGGAGCGGTAAAGTCAGTTATCGATCATCCATGGAAGCAGTGCAGTTAGTTAAACTTTGTTGAGAAGTTTTGTATAAGTTTTTTGAAAATTATACAGGACCTAGTTTACCTGCTTGCTTTTGTGTGAGCTACTTGGGGCTATGAACAACTTACCATGAAATGAAAGGGGCAGGGTTTTACAATGCATCAGCTGCTCCATGGTAAGTTCCAATATTCATGACCTTATCCCACAGAAACTAGAAGTTAAACCACAGCAACTTGGCCTCTAATGAAAAACAAGACTAGTAATTTGCCATCATTTAGCTGCCACTGACCACAGGGTAAAAATATATGCATAGATAGTTACTACAGCCATGCAGTGAAGTCCTGCCCCTTTTTACATGATTGTTCTCATTTACATACCTGAGGACTGAGGGAAATAATAGGTGGGTATAAATCACAGATGGGTTGGTGGGAATGCACTGTCAAGGATGGTCGATGCCTGAATGGAGTTATCTCAAGATACAAAACCAAAAGCCATGCACTAATTTTTAATGACTGACAGCCAAGGGAGGCAAAAGGTGAAAACAACATGACTAGTCTGATTTCTTTTTAAAAACACAAAACCCTGCTGTATCAAGACAAAGTATGATGTTGAATGTGGAGGAAGAAATGAAATCCTGGATGTTTTGGACCACAGACAGAAATGCCTTTAGTCTGGAAATGTGTGTAAGCTTTGTGTTTTTCTCTTCTGATCTAGGGACCCTAAACTACCACATGCCAGTTGACTAATTAAAATGATCTTGTTTTGAAAAGCCTCTCCTGGTTCTCTGCAAAATAGCAACTGTATGGACAGCATCCTTGCAAGGGTACATCTCAAACTGGGGGTCCAGTGGAGTGAGCCATGTTTAGAAACAGGTATGCTGAGATTGCTGACCCAGTTTGGGAGTAGTGGAGCCACAAGACTCACTTTTGTATATAAAGGGAGAGAGAGATCTGTGGCCTAGCCCTAAAGAAGTGTAATCTCTGAAAGACTGTTTCGAGGGTGAAAGCATAGCATGCTTTGTAGATTCATAGCCAAGAATAAATTTAAGCTGTAAACTAGAAGAGCTCTAACCATCAGAGAAGTCAGGCTCTAGATCAGCCTCCTAGTAGGAGTATTGGGGGCAAGAAATCCTGACAGGCTTTAAGTTTCATATTGGTCAGTATATGAAAGAGTAGATGTGGTTGCTCAAACTACCAAGGCACTGGACTGAATGACCAGGAGGTTCCTTCCAGTGTTGTGTTTTTATGGGACAACTTCATTGCTAGAAACAGCAATAGGTATCCTCTGTTTTAGTTGTTCTGCCTTACTGGAGGCAGCAACATTCAGCTGTTGGTCCAG